CAAATAGATCACAATATATTGTATTGGACTTAATACTTCCCATTCTTCAATGCATGCACAGTCATTAAACTCAACATTTCTCCCACCCACTGTAACTCTTATAAGAAAAAGTTTATTATATAGGTCACAAACTTTGGAAAAATATTTTTGGGGGTTGAATTTCTGTAGTTTCAATATATGAAGGAAAGAAACACTTAAATAGGATCCTAAGAGATTAGGTAAAAAAGATTATCATTTTATGAAGAAGAAGGGCCACGTCAGTCCAGGGAAATAGTTCAAGAGATTGGATATATGTTGGTGCCCATGGAATGATCACCAGAACCACATTGTCTCTGAGCACTACAGGGAGTGACCCTCTGAGCACCACTGCATGTGATCCCAAACCCAAAATTACAAAATAAAGAAGAATCAGGCCATTTTGTCTTTCTTAGATTGTTCTTTGAAGTTGCTGTTGAAAACATATGTCAGTGCTATGAATTTATATGAGTTATATTGTTGATATAGTGCTTGTACCTTTTTAAATATGTAAATGATGTAAGTGAAACAAAATGAAACTAGTTAGCATATGAACTGACCCCTTGATTTAGAGAAGAACCTCTAAACTGTGACTTCCTAAAATAAACCATAGAGAAATATGGAAAGGGAAGGGCTTAGAAAAAGAAGCTTCGAAATTGGGCCAACATGTCAAATCACCGAATTTACCTCTTAATTGGAATCATCTCTCAGCATCACAGCAACAGTTCACTAAAATTATTGAGATCTGTGACCTTTAAAATATTAAATTCTAAATTTCAAGTAAGTATGATACTTTGTCACAATTCACAACCTCTAGTGCCCTTTTTCCTAAATTGTGCTCAGAGGAGTGACCTGATAGCAGATTAACCACTAAATAGCCTCCAGCTGAACTCTGTCTTGACCGAATCCTTTCTTTCAATCATTTGAGTTCACCATTGGAAGGCACTGTGGCACTGCCCTCCCGTTGTTCATGGATTTGCTCAAATGGGCACTAGTAACAACTCCATTGTGAGACTTGTTGTTACTGTTTTTGGCAGATCGAATACATCCCAGGGAGCTTGCCAGGCTCTGCCCTGCAGGCGGGATACTCTCGTAGCTGGCAGGATACTGTCAGTAGCTACAGTTCATTGTAAAGTCCAAGTATGTGGGGCCACATCCCTCCCCAAAGTCCCTGCATCTCCTTTTACCCATGGGTGATGTCACTCATTCTTTCCACATTCTTTCATTCACTTTCAATCGTATTGCCTCCAGTATACGATCCTCTGGTCTTTTCCCGATGCAGTTCTTTATCCAGTGCAAACTTTGCCAGTCTGAAATCTTGTTGTTCTCTGGACTCTTTCAGACTCCAGCTGTTCCCTGGTGCCTCAGTTTTCAGTAGCCCATAGCCATGGCCATGTGAGCATGGGCAGTTTCCCTGTGCTAAGTACCTGTCACTGGCTGGGCCTCACTAGGACTGTACCACAGCAATTCCCTGTCATCCCTGCTTTCTTTTAGTCTCAGCCACCACCACCCATGTAAGGGCAAGATCCCTGTGCTCAGTACCGCAACACTGTGTGGGAGAACAAGGCCTGCCTCAGTCTGTCTTATGTCCAGCCACGAGAACCCTACATGATTCAGCAGTTTATGTAGAGGTAGGTTAGTGTGTGGAGAGAGAGTCAGCCCTGAGACACACTGTATTCTATCATTCTTGATGAACCTCTGCATATTATTCTAAGCCATGGTGCTTCAAAAGAGTCCTCTTAATTGTTACTAGATGAAGTTTAAATTCCTAGAAAGTGAGCTTGCATTTTCCTTCTTCCAACCATGTAAGAAGACCTGTTGCTAAATCGCTAGGCTACCATTTATATTCTCAAAATTGGCCAGAATAAAAACTAATAAGAGTATATTGTACTTGTTTACCTAATGAGGCAAACTCTTATCTTTGTTTGATGTGGCAATAAAAAGGTCAAAATGTATAATGGAAAAAAAAAATCTTTGCAGTAGAAATCTCTTCCAGCAAATATTTCCAATGCAGCTTTAAACAAGAAAAGCACTTTCTTCATTCCACTCTTTTAGCTTTTCAAGAGATGGTGTTCTATTAAGACAAGTAAGGGAACCACTTATTAACTTTAACTTGTAACCAATAAACAATCACTTGGTCTTACTATTGCATAACTATCAACACGCCAGCCCTAGAACTGGAGGATGAGAGTCCAACTAGTATAGGCTTCTATTTAAATCATAACCTCTGATAAGCTTTGAAAAACAATTCCAGAGCAGTATTTCTCAATTTGGGAGTAATATGGCTCCTATGTGCCCCCCCCCCCCAGGAAAGAAAGCACAGTGAAAGTTGCATATGCAGGTGGTCACAGCATGAGATCAGGGGGTCTTACTGGTAGGCTACAGAAAGAAATAAAGGTTAGAAGGGGACCAGGGTCAGAAAAAAGTTGAGAAATACTGCTGTAGGTATCCTACATATCAACCTCTTCCCCTCTATCTTACTCTTTATATAGGACCAAGAGGAAGGGATAAAAGCACACACCTCTAAATCCTGCCTATCTAAAGGGTTTGGAGCCTCCACAGAAAAGAGCCAAGACTCATGAAACCAAAGCACACACCCCCAATAAAATGTTTATCATATCCTGGCAATGGTTTGTTAGCAATTTCTGATCTCTTTCTTCCTGAAGAAAAAGACCTACATTTGCAATTTTCTTTTTTAAAAAAGGATATTTTGGAGATGAAAATGAGTGCAACTTTACAGATGATTTGTTTTTAGCATAATAATTTATGAACACAGAATATAATCCAATAGGGACTGTTACAGTAAGACAAAGGGAAAAGGGTTTCTGTCAACAAACAACCGGTCTCTTACTGCAGTACTGAAAGGTGAGGTTATAAATAAGAGAAAAACAAGACAATTGAGGAAGTAGAAAACCAAGAACAACACCAATTGGGTCACCTGGAAAAAACCACCTTTCTTCCTTTTGAGTTTAACATCTTTTTTATGAATCCTTCCAAGGGATCCAGGCAAGAATAGATGTACAGAGCACCAATACTACTCCTTGACGTGGTTTGGCCACCACCACAACAATTTGTCACATCATGCAGTGAAATGTATGAAGGGTTAGCTAGCCCCAGGCACAAAAGAAAAACCACCAGGACTTGCAATTTTTCTATGCAGCTTTCAAACATATATATTACAGCTCAAGAGGAGCATGAATAAGCACATTTGCACTCTTGCAAAAGCTGTAGAGTTGAATAGCTCACTCTTTCCCCAAAGTCGAGGTGAAGTAAATGCAACAAAATAAGAGGTGGTTATAATTTTAAGCATTCAAAGAGTAGGTGCATCTTACAGCAACATAAACAAATGGACTCACATAGCAGGGGTTTTCAGAGAACCAAAACTGTTTAAAAGCAAGGCACACTTCATAGAAATGCGAATAGCAATGTCTCCCCTAGCAAATCTTCACAGGTACCAAATTAACCTTGGAAAAACTCAGAAAGAATAGGAGAAAAAAAGATTTGACAAATGCCTACTATGTGCCAGGAACTGTTTGCAGGACATTTTAAGTTTCAGGGTTAAAGACTATTTATCTGAATGTAACTGGAAGCAAGACAAGGCCCTTCCTGCTACTGATGGGTGACCCTCACCATCAGAACCTGCAAGGTAATGGCACCAAAGCTCCCAGGGATTGATAACTCTGCTGATGCACTTGGAAGAGAGCCTCTGAGGTCTGCAGGCATGTCATCCCGACTGCCTCCCAAACACACTTGAGACTGGGGATGGTGGTTCTGGGCAGCAGCAGCGAAAGAAGATACGCCACAGTATCAGTTCTAGATGTATCTGGTATTGATTGAAAATGAATACCTGGCCGGAGTGACAGAGAATGTCACCCACCTTTGTGTGATTTTTAGCTAACAAGCTAAAATCTATGTGACAAACCAGAAGGTAATTTTGGTACTTCAGATATTAGAAAGCTCTTACTTGAGACACTGTCATAAGAACATGTAGAAAGCCCTCCAAAAACTACGTTTCATTATTTAGGCCAGCTCAAAATTTTCACCTGGGACATAGAGTGCCAAAAAAACAAAACCCCTAGTAATATCCACAACAAATTGTGTTAGTTAAGACAAAACCTTAAAGTGGACCTGTATAATACATTTACAAAGTTTGTGTTATGAAATATTGGTTCCAGTCAACTCTAAAGATGTGGTAAAAACAAGTCATCTAAAAATAAGGATGTTGCCTTATAACATTCTGAGAAATTAGATCCTATACCCATTTAGTCGTAAATTCTAACAAGCATCGTTACATGATGTCACTTATCCAGGGACCTTAATGCATTGCATCAACTCTTAATCTCTGAGCAAATAAAAAGAATGTAATAAGTTCTATGAGAGTCTGAGTGCTTCATGGTTCATGTGCTAAAATTTTGTTAAATTAGATCATTCTGGTAGAAATATTTCTTGATACTTAAAAAAAAACTTAAATGTGAGTCACCAACACATCTTAGTATTATTTTAAAATTGAGTCAATACTTTTAAGTTTACGTTTAATCTTTTATAAATTTAAAGAGATGTAGGCCTATCAGATTGATATCAGATGTCAGAAATGCATGTGTCCTTCCCCTTGGACTCTTCAAATAAAAGAAAACAAAGAGCAAAACAACAAAAACCCAAACGTTCTTTTTTCCTTTCATTTATTTGTTAAAGAGTTGTCATTTTCAAAGTTACTGGGTTTGCCTTTCCCCTCCTCCCCTATAAAATTCCAGAAATCGCAAAGCCCTCACACTTGACTTCTTATTTGGGGATGCTTTTATATGAACAAGTAATTTCTTTATTGCATAACCACTACTTCCTCAGACAACATTGCTTTTAAACATGTTTGACTTTTCATCCTTACTTTATACCATCGTTCCTGGTTCCAGACCAATCTGTCGGGGGTATCTGTCCTGGAATTTTATCATTCTGAGTTTTATAAACTGAAGGGGATATTGATTACTCACCATATCCAGGAATGCCTTCTAAAGGGGAAATTATTCACGTGCATCATACTTGCAGATCTTCTGTCATTAATATTTTCCTTGTCTCATATGTTTCATGAGTGGCCTTCAGAGAAGAATTCCAACTCTCCTGTTTTGAGCAGCTATCATGGGCAATTATTGCAACAAGTATTAAATTCCAAAGAAATCCCCCCCAAAAAACAAAGAGCAACAACAAAAGCCCTTCCAGGATTTGAAGAAAGAAATATCACAGAGCACTGCAGGGATGGGTCCATCCATTAGGTTCCACTATGTAGGCAGAACACTAAAATAACCAGTTCAATCACTAATCCTCAATGGTGGCTAATAATGTCCTGGTAAAATCCAACTTCCTACAGTGTCAATTAATGCATCCTCGCAGGAAGGACTCTGGAATGTGAGAAAAGAGGAGTCAAAAGACAGTTTCTTGTTATCCTTGTTAAAGAAGTGTTAGAAGGGAAGTGGAAAACTTCAGGCTGCTTTGCCATGCTGTCCTTTAAAAATGAATATTGCTTTTTCTTCTTTCTTAGGCACATATTCATGTGTGGTCACGTTAATGCAGTGCTGCCTTCTGAGACGTGTCGGACAAAGACCTGGGCAGAGGGGCTAGAAACCATGTATTAGCCAAGCCAACTTCTCTCTCAAATCTCAGAATTGCTGGTTTTCAACTGCAAAAGTAGGTAGGCAACAAACAATTTCTGCTGTACAGGACAGGATTATCATTAGCTACCATCATGACTTCAGAAGGTGCTGTCATGAGGAAATTCATTTCTGCTGCCTAACCCCATAATAAGGCTGCCTGCTCTCGTTGAGTAAAATGACTAAGCTATTGATCCTTTCACTGCAGAATTCCCTTTAATCTGTTGTTATCACAACCATGTGCGGGCTTCTCATATTTTGCCTTGGAACGAAAATGAAATTCACAGCTGCAAGTCAGACGTTGTCTAAGAATTTCTTCTCCCGCTGTCTTTCTTTCCTCTCTCTCTCTTTCTTTTAACCCAAACTCAATTCCCCAGTAGGTGTTATATATTCTGATGCTCTGACATCTTCTGAAAGATCCTCATGCCCAAGCTATACAGACCTTGCGTGCTTTTAGAACACAAAGGCAACAGGCTCCTGCTGGGGTCCCCCGTGCGAATTTCCAGCAGAACCCTTGGAATCTTCGCAGCCGCCTTGTCTGCCCTGGGCTGTGCCGCCCGGCTCTGAGCAGCTCAGGACACTTGCAGGCTCCGTGGTACTGTACATTAACTCTGCAGCAGCCCGCTCTGGCTGCAGAGTGCTGCCTGACAGGGGATGTGCTGGCGTCAAGGGGGCCCTCTAGGTGGGTTCCCAGACACTGCAGCACGCTTTGCTCTCCGCCCAGCGAGGGAGACTCAAAGGGGTTAAAGGGACAGCCTGAAGAGCAGATTTCTTTCAGTGAGCAATGACCAGAAGAAAGAGAGAAGCTGAGCCGCAAGGAACCACGCAGGGAAACGGCTCCGCAAATGAACAGATCGGCTAAAAGGAGGGTTTTCGTTCGTTTGCTGGTTTTCCTTTCTCTGTGCAGTGAAAGAAGAATGAAAGAAGTCAGTAGTGAAATTGCAAACGGCAGGTTTTATGGGACTCCTTTAGGAAACGAAGAGCATAGATAAATAGATTGCTACTTGGGTGAGGATGCTTCGCTGACACGATGATTTGCAACCTCTTAGTTATAGATGACCACGGGGTGATTTTTGGACAGGAAATTCTGTGGAAGCCAGTCCTGCGGAAGTCAGTGATACCTCTTGTGAGTCCGTTGCGATTGCGCATGCCATAAAACGGCTTGTTTGATTTGGGGGTGTGTGGATCTGGAAAGCACCGAGATAAAGCCGTGCAATGCCTACGGTGGATATTTTGTTTCCTCAAGCTTGCCCTTTTGTTGCAAAAATTCTCTTCAGCAATCCCCTGAAAGCACCCCATCACTGTTGATGCCATTCTGGAGCACGAATAAAATAGTAAACTCTTGTAATAATAGGTTGGCACTTAAATGGTGTTGGTTGGACATCGGTAGAATGGACTTTACAGTCACAGTGTGCTCAATATGAATGTATCACTTTTAACTGAAGTATTCAAAAAGCCTGTTAGGCAATTGCTTAATATTAAATGGAATACTGGCAGCATTTAATACATCAGGCTATTATCCTCAGTTAGAATTCCCCCAGTGCCACCTTGTCACTGCAGCCAACATCACCCAGAGTTAGGGAGGGGTGGGGATGAGGGGCACATCTGTCACACACTCAAAACCAGGCACCAAGCAATTCCGTTTTGAAAACTGCCGTGACTGGGATTGTTTTAATGTTGATCTAAGGAGGATCCTGATGGAAGCGTTCCTGGGAGAAGGAGCTGAGTGATTCCTTTCAAAGCAGATTGAACCTGTAGGTTCAGAAAGATGGTGCCACTGCTTTAAAGCAACTTGACAAGGTTTACTGGAATTCCCTGCAGCCCAGGCAGCAATCTCCTGACCTCCTTTCTCGAAAAGGAATCTCTCTTCCATCGGTGATCAGATTCAGAACACTTCAGGGGTTTGAATCAAGTATCATAGTAACAACACAGATATTTCATTAGATATTTGAGTCACAGTAAGGAGCAAGAAAATTCATATCATCCTGGGCTCAAAACAAAGCACTTATAATACTATCTTATTTCATATTCACACAACACTATTAGGTGAGAACTGTTATTAGGCCTGTTTTAAAGACAAGGAACCCAAATAAGGAGCCCAAATAAAGTAGCTGGGCCAAGGTCAAGAATCTACAAAGTATCATGACAGAAGATTGGATGTATCTATTTCCACTAAAGTCTCTATAATAATAAAAATAAAAGTATCGCCTTGAATTATCACTTTGTCCTCTCAAAATTATTTTAGCCTCACTGAACTGAGAATATTAAGATATTTCAGCCTCACATACTAAGAACATTAAGATATTTATTATGCCAATTTTGGAACAACAATCCTGAAAATCCAATATTTGTTCTTCACCATGAACACAGTTGCCAGCAAAGCAGAAAAAAATTCACAATGTTTGACATTAAATAGTCTTCTGTGATGATATGATGGGATGGACCTACTTAAAAATTAGTAATTAATCTTTATACTATATTAGAATATTCGAATGTCTTTATGAAAAGCAGCAAATACAGAGATTTTTAGATGATACAGAAATTATTGTTCCTTGTAACAGACATTGTTTATTTGAAATTTCTTTACTTTATAATCTCTTCAATTCTACTCTGGTCATATGCCAAAGTAATACCCTTGTGTGATATAAAACCACATGTATCTCTGAATATTTCTTATTTTTGACACAGCTAAATATTAAATCGTTGTTTAAAATAGCTGTTTGTGATAATTTGTAGGCAATTATCTAAATAAAACTACTTAAGGTAAAGGTAAAGGTAAAGGTAAAGGCCCTCCCGTTGATGTCGATTTGCTCGAGGGGGCCCAGTAATGTCTCCATTGGAGAATTTGTTGTTACTGTGTTTGGCATATCAAATACTCTCGGTAGCTTGCCGGGCTCTCCGAGAGGGGCGGAGGAATCGAACTCAAAACTACTTATAAATTAAAATTACTTGATCTTCAGATTATTAAAGGAGATTCAGAATTGAAATATATTTAAACCAAGATTTCAACAGAATATTTTTTAAATGAACTTTCTTGGCTCTTTATTTCAATCCTTGAATATATAGCTGTGTAAGATATGGTATAACAAATGTAATAAAAGGACACACAACGGAGAAGCTAAGTTATATGGTACAAAAACAAAATTTCTGCTTGAGGGATCACAAACAAATAATGTAATGATTCATTTTAAGGAACAGTAATTGCAAACCCAAATTGAGTATTTAAAAAACTGAAGGCAGCATATATAAAATAATAGAACAGTAGTTTTTGAACTTCATTTTTTTATTGCATGGGTTATACTGATAGGTGCAAGGATAAGGGACTCCTAATATTTGGCTCCATCGTACTGGGATGGGTTACCAATACCCCCAGTGATATACTCAGGAAGCCCATACAGTGAAGGAAATTGAAGTCTGTACTCACACACATTAAGCATGTGTTCTACTACTTGAGCAACATGCCTGGCCGTGGTTTTTATACATGTTTTTACACATGCAGACAGCACAGGTCACCAGGTTAAAAAAATCTAGTTTCAGGATTACAAATGGCATATGATGCTCATTTTTTAAATGTGCTTAATAGTTTTATTCCACATATCAATGTATTGCTTGTCTTCAAGAAAAAAATTTTGGGTGGAACTATTGGGTTTGTAATTTATAAACACATTCTTGGGTAGCTTCCAGATTCTGATGGAAAACTACTACTCTAATAAAAAATGAAATAAAAAAGTCACGTGGGTTCCGGGGCCGAGATCTCCAAGTCTACTCGGATTTGGGCCGAGCATCTTCCACCCAGATCCTCCAAATTCCAGTAGGCGGGGATCACACCCACCAACTGGCCCCCTGGCGCCGTGTAATCCCATCAACGGCCAAGACTCAGAGACTATAAAAACCAGCTCCCGGAACCGCGCGGTCGCAAATGCAGCCGCGCAACATCTTTTTATGACATCTTATTATCTCATTCCTACTTTGGACGAACTGGCAGGTTACTAAATGTAGCCTGTCCACACGGCAGAGTCTGGCAAACTCCCCGTGGCATATGCAATGTGCCAAACACCAGTAACAAGGATGGGTCTCATTCTCCTAAAGAGCCTTGAATATAATCTCAGGGCTAGGATGAAGGCAACGTTACTGGGGCCTGCTCGAGGCAATTGACGAATAACAGGATGATTTGTGATTTGTTGTGTCTTTTACAACAGCAGAGATGAAAGTGGAGAGTGCCCAGCCTGAGTGAAGTAGAGGGATAAAGACAAATAATGGAAACTCTCACATTTGATGGGAAAAGAATATGGTATATCAAGCGAGCGAATAGACAATAGGTCAATAAAAACAAAACCTTTGACTCTAGCCATAGAACAGAAGACAAACTGGAAAGAGTAGATGAGAAGGAGTTTATGGGCACTGGCACAGGAATATGACATTTTGGTGGTGGTTATGGTGTAATATACACACCACCCATATTCTTGTAAACCAATATTACTTTTTCAATAAAAGAGTATCAGAGATAAATGATGTTGGGGCTGGAGAAATAGTAGAGGGCTTAAGGTGCTTGTCCTACATGTAGATGACATTGATGGCATTCTGTCAGTTCTCAGCAACACAGATGGTCTGCCAAGAATTGCAGAACCCAAGCTGCATCACATTCTCGGACCTTCACAATGACTCACTGGCCCAAGATTTGTCAGGGGGTTGCCTAGACTTCCTAAGCACTACTTGGGAACCCTCACCAAAAAGAGATGAGTAGTAACTGTAGGTAGCTTGCTGTGCTCTCCTAGAGGGGCAGAGGAATCAAACTCGGGTAGGCCATGTTGGCGAAAGTATCTCGCCCACACGGCAAAGTCTGGCAAGCTCCCCATGATGTATTCAATATGCCAAACACAGTAGCAACAAAGTCTCACAATGGAGACGTTACTGGGCCCGCTCGAGAAAATTGATGAAAAACGGGAGAATGGGGACAATGACAGTGACAGTAACTATAGGGTAATACATATGGGGTTTTTTTGTTCTTGTTTTTAATCTGAAAGGTAACCATCTTTTCATCAAACGCCTAAGAGTATTGAATAGAAACATAAAAGATTACTTTTGTAGTTAACTCCAGCCCCATAATTTTTATTTTCTTTTTGCTTTTTGGGTCACACCCGGCGATGCTCAGGGGTTACTCCTGGCTCATGCACTCAGGAATTGCTCCTGGCGGTGCTCAGGGGATCATATGGGGTGCTGGGAATCAAACCTGTGTTGTTCATGTTGGCTGCGTGCAAGGCAAATGCCCTATCCTCTGTGCTGTCGTTCCAGCCCCAGCCCCATAATTTTAATCAATATGGGGGTTCCAAGAACACCGCAGCTTAGCACAAACTTAGTGAAGTGATTACAATCATGATGCAACCTCAGATTTATTGTCATAAGGACAGGTATTTGTCCTTTTAATTTTTATTAAATCTGATAGCAAGCATCAGGTTAATCAGTCTTTCAGTAATGGACTTTCATAAACCATCTTCATGTTGGAGTTTTAAAGAAAAACAAGCAAACAAACAGCAAAAAAAAAAAAGCTGAGAATGGCAATTTACTGGAAAAAAATGTAGCCTAGGAATTCAGAGCAAACACAC